TATGCCATGAAATGCATCTATTATGGACTACAACACAACCATAACAACCATATAACAAGGCATTATCCCTACAACCAGAATGTCCATAACAGAGCATCATAACATCATACCACTCATACAACTATCACTTTCTACTCGTTCACATATGGGAACAATAACAACATAATTTCAACATTTACGACTGTTCATGTAAAGGAACATTGCAACATTGTATCAACAAATAGGAACTCAAAGTGTTCACACAAAACGGCTATTCCTATACAGGTATAACATCAACATCAGTTCTACAATTAATCTTTAACATTTTATCGTAATAACAACATTACGACATCTTCTCACATAATTAATTACAAATCAATCACAACCAGGTAACTGTCCTTTTTGGACCAGTACCTGAAACTGGCGCCTTAGACCAACTCGGCCATCTTGACGCCCATTAGGGAAAACCATTAGAGCGTTGTACGAATAACCGTATAGCATATTCGTCCTAGGTATTTGCCCATAAGGAAAACCTTAGAGCATCGCACTAATAACCACATAACACATTCATTCCTACATAGAAATCTGGTCCCATTAGGGAAACCTTTTCCTTAACATTTATCGATTAACGAAAACTATACCTATGACTCGATCCCCACATGAATTCGATCATACTCCCAGTTATAGAATTGAACCCCACCCTTACCTTAGAATTGAGGCTAATTCCACGCTTTCCGATTCTACTTCTGCTCTACGGTGATTTTTCTGCAGAAATCTCCCGAATTCGCCGATGGATGATTCTTCGCTCTCCATTTCTCTCAATGCGTAACTTCTCTTTTCCGTCTTTCCTTTCCCAAAAATGATGTGATTAAGGGTAAAAGAGTCTACGGGAATATATTTTTGCTACAAAATCTCATTCCACCAGAACACTTTCAAATTCTGCATAACTGCAGTTTTTGCTCGTGTGACGGTCGTCACACTCCTGTGACGGTCGTCATATCAGAAAAATTAAATTTTTTTCAATTTTTTTCTAGATAGAACATCTCTTTAGCTTTCCAACTCTTCGAACGGGGGTCAAATCTGACTTACGGATCAAGAGATATGATTTTTCGAAGTTTCCTAAAACTGCTACGGAATTTTACACTATTTCCTACAATTCGACCGATTCAATTTCCTTCCTTCGATCCAAACACATACTCAACTACGACTACGATGCAACGAGACATAGAAAAGTCACAATTGAATTTAATCAAAATAAAACGGGCGTTACAGGTTGAAAATTGGTCTTTTCGGTACTGGATAGAAAAAAGATGTAATCATGGAAGCTTGTTCAAAAGAGGAGCTAGTGAACATCCCTTTCTTGAGTGGTTCACTTATTCCATATTTTTATTTTCATCTTCCTATTAATTTTGATTTAGGGGGTCTTAATCCCTTTTACATAATTCAAGGCTGAAGTCCTATAAACTGCAAACATTTCCCCCCTGAGATTACGCCTAACATATGGAGTATTATTAGGACCTTTAAAATTATGTGTCGCCGACTAGAAGATACACCCTCTACGAGGATATTATTTTTTTCTTTAGTATCAATATGATGCCTGCAACTGGTTGGGCGACTCTTTTTAGCCTTTCGAGAAAGAAAATATTAGTGCCCTACGTCAACCCTTACCCTGATTGGAACGATAAGTTTGTTAGAGTTAGGGGGCGAATAACGCTTTGATGGTTACGATTGGGGGGACAAACGCTCCCTGCTTCCCATTGTCCTGAACGAGTGATTAGAAGGATTCCTCAGGACCCTCTCTTGATTACCTTAACCTCTTCAAGCGTGAGGTAGTTTAGGAGTTTTTAGGATTTTAGTACATGTGCTCCCATACCTTGATCTCATTTAATCTAAAGAGTGATGCCCGTGGGATAGACAACTATCTAGATGAGTCTACTATTGACCAACCTTTAAGGGTATTCCCTAAATATTTTTTGTAACCACTTTCTTTTTCTATACTTTACCTATGTGAAATTTCAATGGTCCTTACAGATAATAGGAAGGAATGACTGACTAGGATGGCATATGAACAATGATCAACGCCTTTACTCAGTCCACGCGAACAGAGTGTCTCTAATCTCAGTGCTAGCCGCTAGAAATAAAGACTGGGAGAGAGAGAAAGAGAGAGAGGGAAGGATTACAACCAGGTTTTAAAAATCTAAAGGGCTCTATGTATAGAACCACTTGTGTGGACAATAAACTAAAAAAATCTAACTTAAGTGCACTATAATAATAATATTATATTATTATAATAAACACATTATTATTATTATTATATTTAATAACTATCATAATAATAATAATAATTATTATTATTGTTATATTATTATTATTATTATTATTATTATTATTATTATTATTATTATTATTATTATTATTATTATTATTATTATTATTATTATTATTATTATTATTATTATTATTATTATTATTATTATTATTATTATATGATGTTCCATATTCATTTAAGTAAATTGTATCTTATGGTGTTCTATAATTCTCTCAATTACACCGTACCTTACTGTGTTCCTTATTTATTCAATCTCTCATCAATTCGTCCTTATGTTTGTGACCCTGTAGGTTCTCGTGACATTGACAATTATATTAAATCAGATATTTAATATGATAAATAATGAGTGATATTTAACAACACATCACTTCTACCCAAGTTACAAAAATGTCAAGTGATCTAACAAAACATTTTTTTGATAATATTATTATGTAGCATTACTCTTTTACCCTCACGTTTATATTGAACACAAGACATAGACTGTGTCACACTTGTCCAGTTCAATATTGGATACTTAGACATTTATCCTGTTACGAAGGATGAGCAAATTCTATCTAAATCACTCATGTCTTCATCATGATTTCTAGAGTACCTATCAACTATCTTTATAGTCACCCAATTACGAACATCGTTTGATCAACAATAAAATACTTGACTCATACATCTAAGATCCATAGTAATTTTAGGTTGACGGATAATACACATCACTATCACCATAATAATAACTTATAACACTCTACATAATTTTCTATGTAGTATTCTTATAGCGGATCAATTTAGTATAAATGCAACTAATTTATATGTGCATGTACATGTAAAATTATTTACTTAGAGTCTATTTGGTAAGACTAAAAAAAGAGTTTTTACCTTTTAGCTTATGACTTTTTATTCCAATTATACATTTATTATATATACACACTATTATATATATATATATATATATATATATATATATATATATATATATATATATATATATATATATATATATATATATATATATATATATATATATATATATATATATATTATTAAAAAATTGATTTTAAAAGATTGAATTTATAGAGATTTTGAAGAATGCTATAACAGATTTTTACTATTTTTTCTATTTTATTAGACATTATTTTCATTTATTAAATATAAATTATATAATTAATTTAAAAATAATTTTGATAATTTTCAAGTTAGTAAAATATCAGAGAAGAATCAATGAAATTAACAAAAATGAAGAAAATTTAAAATATTATGGCAGTTTTATTGTAAAATATTAGACAATAAACTTATTTTTGTTATTATTTTAGATTAATATAACGAAATTTAAAATTACAATGTTAATATTTCACGTATTTTATTATAAAATTAGGAAAAAAAACTATATTTTAGGAAAGAATGAGTTAACCAAACCAATAATTGTAGTTATTAGGATTACTTTTACTTTTATGTCCTCATAAATGGTTTTATGAAATAACTCTACTTCATGTATAGTTTGTTAGTTCTTTTATTCATTGAATTCCACTATCAATATATTCATACTAAATAGGAAAGCTCATAAAATTTATATGCAAATTTATATCTTTAATTTTTCATATATATTAAAATTGTTTTGCATTTTGTTACTAATACATTTAATTTTGTCAAATAAAAATTAATTTAATAATATAATATAATAAGATATTGAAATTATCAATTTCTTTATTAAAAATATTTTTTATGTTATTTTGTAATTATCAAGAAGAGGTGACGAACTTCCAAAAGGTAACAAAGATAAAATACGAGCTTGTTTTATAGCAATCGTAATCCATCGTTGTTGTTTTAAGGTCAATTTATTAACACGTCTAGATAAAATTTTGTCTTGTCGAGTGACAAGTTTGAAAAGTAAACTAAGTTTTTATAATCAATTCAATCCCCAAATTGGATTAGGGGCGACCTCCTACGAATTGATTTCTTCTTCTTCGATTTAACAAACAGTAGCTTAGATGATTTAACAAACAGTCGCTTAGATTTATCCATGGTTTATTTATTCCTATACCGAAAATCCCGTTTGTTATAAAACAAAGGATTTGTTTTAGTTATATATATTCTTATTATTTTTTTTTAATAAATTTTATTTTTTATATAAGGAAATAGATCCTATATAATGATATATGTATATAATTTCATGTTATAGAATTTTATTTATAGAATATAGAGAAGATAATTTCTCTGATATCTATATAATTCATTTTTATGTTATTTAATTTTTAATATAACTGTTAATTTATCAAATACTCAAATTAATTTATCAACTATCATTTATTAGCTATAAACTACCGAGTGTCTGATTAAAAGGTAGTTTCACCAAACATAATCATTAAAAATTTAAAAAAATTGGTTTTTATTTTATTTATAAATATCAAGACATTTTGAATTTAATTTTAAAAAAATCTACCAAGTACCTGATTAAAAGCTAGTTTCACCAAACATAATCATTAAAAGTTTACAAAAATTGGTTTTTATTTATAAAATATCAAGGCATTTTGAATTTAATTTTGAAAAAAATCAAATTATATCAATTGTGTCTCTCTCGAAAATGTTTAAAATATAAATAGTGGATTGGGAATGAGATAAACCTTATCCCTCTGTTCACAACGAATTCATTTTGAACCCTGAAACGATAAAACAAATTGACACTGTAAGAACTGAGCGAGCGATAATGGCGAAGAAGGGAAAGAAGCAACTGATGTCTTCAGCGCCATGGAGAGGCGAAGACGAATCCGAACAATTCCCTGACGCTAACCTCAAAGTCACCCGTCAACAGGATGATACTTCCACTATGCATGTTCCTCGCTCCAAATCCAGCAATCACAATCATGATGATGATTTCATTGAAATTGATCCAGAACTTCGCTACAGTTTCCAACGCAATTTTCAGGTCTTGTTTTATTCTATCTATTAAAATATTTGTTATTGTTCTTAACGTGTTTGCTTTGTTTTTGTGTAAAGGAAATTCAAATTAGGTTTTCTGATATGATATTTGTTTGAATGTTGAACGTCGAAACTTGAAACCCTAATTTTCTATGAAACCAGGATTTGGATACAAAATCAATTTGGATTCAAATTAAATAAGCATCTAGGTTTTGTATTATCAAGATGACATTTGACAGGGGAAACTGGGTTTGACATAGTGTTATCAATCCTAGATCATGGAGCGTAATTGCCGATGCCGAGAGCACTGTAGGGGGTATTGCAGACTGTGGGATGGCCATTGTTTTGAAACTTTTATACAGTTTTTATAATTTTTTATGCTTAAAAACTCATCTAGCTGTGACGGACCTGTGACATGGTGAAAAATGACAGTATGGATGAGACAGAGTGAGCAAGAAGAAGAGCTCAAACACTGGTCTAGTGTTTCATAATTGCAAAGTCCTAATATGCTCCAACCATAAATCCCTTGAGGCCGATTTTAGGATTTTAAAATTTCATTATTAAGTGTGGCACTACAGCAGCTACAACCTGCTATTTTGGCTGCGACAGAAACTTTTTTAGCCTACGACTGCTATACTAAACCGTTCCGCTACTGCATGTCCTCTAGGGGATGCTATAGTGCGGTATTGGTAACGCTAGTTTGACGCTTGCAACCATGTATCCAAACATTCAGTTAATATATTCCCTAGGCTTTCGGTTTTTGTTTTTTGACTTTATATCTATCTGCACCTTAAATGTATGTTACATGCTACCCCTTTTTTTTTAATCTTTCCCTTATGCTGTTTTTGGCTTAAAGTCTGTCTTTTTGTTATCATTTTCTTCTTTGTTCTTGTATAATTGATATAGCATCCATTATTCTTCTCTAAGTTTTGAATGTAATATACATTTTTTTTGTTGTATTTGCAGTTTATTCAGCGAGTTTTTAGCATTGACACTGTGGTGAAGCCTCTCCCACCCGTCATGGCTTACAATGTCTCTCGCAACTTGAACTTCTTCACGCGCATTTTCACTCAATTCTTTGGTATGTTGGATTCGGTGCACCTTTTTTTACACAGCTGATTATTGTATAGAATAATATATATAATATATAGAACCAAAATGTTTCAAACTTCCATTGTTTTATGGATTACTACTATTCAGTTCTTCTTTTAAAAATCAAACACAGAGATCCAAATACCTAGGACATGGAACATGAACAGGTCTTACGGTGTTCCTATGCTCAATAGTGACCTTTACTTTAAAATTCTCCTCAGCCCACACATTGTCCTCCACCTACCCAACAATGTGACGCATGAAGATTTTCACAAAATCAAATAATTTCTTTCAAATTTCAACTGTGAATGAGACATCACCCACAGTTGACATGTCTCGTCATTGTTCTCTAAGTGAAATAAAATGAAAGTGCATTTCAGAGTGAATTCCTTGTTGAAAAGTAAACCTGTTACCCTTCTTCTCACATTCCCTCTATTACCATTTGACTAATTTTCGTATTACATAATCAAATCCACGACTCACTTTCACATATATTACATAAATCACGGCTTGAAGCAGTTTGAGTAAAGCATCACCTCTCTTTGGTGCAATGCAAGATTCTCAAACAGAGATTTCTTTGAGAAATGGGCTTAAAGCAAAACACAAGATTTAGAATGGGATAAAATAGATTGCATTGGGTCACATTCTATTCTGTCATATTTTTAATAGATTTCAACAATGACAATTAATATCATTTTATTATATACATCTTTCATTACATCTCTTTGCATTTATCCAAATATCACTTTAATATTTTCCATGTTATTGTTAATATGGTGTTTTTTACCTGTTGCACGTCAGATCCTGAAGGCATTGCAGCTGCCCAGAAATCCATGGGCATGGGACAGGAAAACAGAGACCGCAGAGTTCGTTGAAGATAATCATGTAAGACATCATAAAATCAATAAAAGTAATATGTAAGAACATTGAAGATGATATTGCATAATCACTTATGAGTAATTTTTTTCTTTTGTTATTAATTGCAGAATTATTTAGTAATGCTGCATTATTACAACTCTTCTTTACTTTTTTCCGCGTATGCACTTACTTTCTAATTTGATTGTATAAATTTTGTTCGACAATTCTGTAGTACTATTTGGTATAGGCTTCTCTGTATATGAATTGTATTGTATTTTGAGTGTCACACTATGTTAATTTGTTCGACTCTCGATTTTCCGCCTTCTTGATAATAGGTGATTTTGCATGGATATTAGAATGAGCATGAAAGATTGTCTTCTCTAGCAGACAATGTTAATTTGTTCGACTATGTTAATTTGATATCTCTAGCAGACAATGAGCATGAAAGATTGTCTTCTCTACGACATATCATATCATGTTTGGTGGACCTTTTCTTAGTAACAGATTGATCATGTATTATGAAGGAGATAAAGAGAATGATATTTCAATATATTATGCTAGTCATAAATGCTTGCCATTTATAAATACCATTTATAAATACAAATGATACATGTTTTTGTATATCTAATTCCTAGCCTCAAGGGAAGGTTTCTACTGATTCCTAACATCAAGGTAGGAATAATTCAAAACTATAACAACTCATATACACAATAATAGAATGGTGGGTTACACCTTCAATATAGGAACAACTTATAATTATTTATTATGCCCCCTCAAAATTGGGTCACCATCAATGACACAAAGTTTATCTCTGAGAAGTGAAAATTTGGTTCGATGCAGAGGTTGTGTCAGAATATCTGCAGACTGGTCTTTTGTAGAAATATGAGAGACTCGTATTTTTCCAATTTGAATCATCTGTCTTGCAAAATGATAATCTAGAGCAATGTATTTCATTCTAGAGTGAAACATTGGATTGGAGCATAAGTAAGTCGTGTCAATATTGTCACAAAAAGGAGTAGATACGTGAGATGGTACTCCAAGTTCACTTAATAGAGATTTAACAACCACATGATCTCAACTGTAGTATTGACAGCAGATCTGTATCCTTCTTTTGTGGATGATCTTGTAGCTGTTCTCTGTCTTTTTGATAACCATGAAACAGTATTTCCACCAAAGTAAATTATGTAAGCTGAAGTATATGTTTTGTCATCATAATTGTCTCCCCAATCAGCATCAGTAAATGCTTGTAATTTAAGATGAAGTAGTTTTGCTAGCTTCAAAACATTATTAATAGTATGTTTAAGATACCTTAATAATCGCTTGAGTTGCTGAAGGATGCACTTGAGTTGGTTGATGCATGAATTGTGACAATTTATTAATTGCAAAGGACATATTTGGTCTTGTCAAAGTGACGTATTGCAATGCACCAATGATACTACGAAATAAATTTGAGTCGGCAGAGGCAGATCCATCATTTAGTTTGAGAGGAGTAGTCATACATAATGGTGTGTTGACTGACTTTGCTTCAATCATGTTAAACTTATCCAAGAGTTCTCTAATATAACCATGTTGAGATAATAAAAAACCATCCTTGGTTGGAATCATTTCAATTCCAAGATGATAATGAGGGAAACCAAGTTGTTTGAGAGAAAATTTCTTGGAAAGTTTTGTCATGAAATGATTTTAAAAAGTAGTATTACTGTCCATCAAAAGTAAATCATCAACATATATTAATAAGAAAAAGCTTATACACCATGTTTATTCTAAATAAACAAAGATGAATCACTTAGGCTTGTATGAAACCCAACAGAAAGAACAAAAGCCTTGAGAGAATCATGCCATGCTCAAGGTGCTTCTTAAACCATAGACAGCCTTCTTGAGTTTGCATACATGTTGAGGAAATTCATAATGAAAAATTCAGGTGGTTGTTGCATTTAGACATCTTTAGTCAATTTTCCTTGCAAAATGTATTATTATCATCCATTTGATGTAATGACCACCCTTGAAAAAGTGCTAAAGTGAGGACCACTTTAATGGTTGAGGTTTCACAACCGGTGCAGATGTTTCCTTAAAATCAAGGCCATGTGTTGAGTGAATTCTTTTGCAACCAACTGTGCTTTATATCGTGCCACACTTCCATCTGGATTTCTTTTGATGCGAAACAACCATTTACATCCAATTAAATTGATGTGAGCTTGATGTGGAACCAGGGTCCGAGTACCATTGTTCATGAGTGCATTCAGTTCTACAGAACAAACATTTATCCAATGTGGTATTTTAAAGGCTTGAGTAATGGTAGACGACTCAAAATTTTCTTACAAATCATGTTTAGTGGCAGTAAATATTTCTTGGGTTTGAATATATTATTTTGTGACCTTGTTACTATAGAATCACGTTGAACTGGATTATTTGTCTTTGAAGTTGGAACTTCATCAGATGCAGTGTTGGTGTTAGAACTTGTTAAATTATCACTAGTCATTGGTATCTTTATTGTTACATATGACTCGATAGGTAGCGTTGACTCAGGGACTGGTGTAGGACTCGATACAGGGACTGATGTATGACTCGATACAGAAACTAATGACTCAGATGTAGGTGTACAACTAGGTACAGGTGACAAAGGTACAAATGTTTGGTTCGGTACAAGGACTGATGCAGGGACTGGATACAGGTAAAGGTAGAACAAATGCCACAGGCATAAATGACTCATGTGCTAGGGACTGGTTTGGTACCAGAGCTGAATTTTGATCTTGGTTAACATGATTAATACTATGGATAGCATAGTCATGTGATGGAATTAGAGGAGAGGTGGATGGCTAATTAATTATGGATTGATATGGGAATGAATTTTCAAAAAAGTTGACATATCTAGATACATATATCCTATTTGACAATGGTTTAAGAGAAAAATTTGCATGCTGAGACATGGAATATCTTAGGAATATGCAAGGTTTAGACCTGGTTGAAGCTTTTTTGCATATATGGTTTTAGCTAAGGAAAACATAAGCATCCAAAGGAATGAAGTTTATTATAATCTGGTTTTGCTTTTAAACAATACTTCAAATGGAAAGATATATTAATGATTGGTTTAGGTATCCTGTTAATAAGGTACACATAGTCTTAGTTGGAAGTTTCGATGCCAAGATTTGATTGAGTATGATAAGCAAAAGAAATATTTTTAAGTTGTTTTGGATTCGACAGGAGTATTATTGAAGATCTTAGTGAAAGAGATCCTTTGTAAGAGGGATACGATGAGTTAAGACTTAGAAGTATTTCTGAATTTAGACTGCAATTTCGACGGAAGCAATAGTGAGGTTGCGTTCGACGAAGGGTTTTGAATTTTAAATAAGGATGTTAACTATCTTTTGTCCTTATCCGTTTCTCAAAGGTGATGCGTGTAAAGCTGTGGCAAATTGAAGACATGTCAGCGAAACGTGTAATTTTCTAGAGAAAAGACCGTTGATAGCGGTTATTTTCGACTTAGTATAAATAGGGGTCTTAGTAGTGTAGAATTCTGGTGTGTTCAATCATTGTACAAATACTCATAAAATTACTCAAAGTATCTAAATGTGTTGAAAAAAGAATTCATTGAGAATGTACGTGTGAATCGCCATATTTTCATTTTAATTGAAGTTATTTACCGTTTATCAATTACTTTTTCATTACAACTTATTTTGAAGTTCTTTATTGTAATTCCTTTATAAATTTTAAAATTTATTTTTAAAATCTAAAACAATCCTCAACAATTCTCAATGTAAAAATTTTTTTGCACTGTATTTATAATGAGAAGATTTGGAAGGATTTGTTGTGTCAGTGGTGTCTTTTTGTTTCTTTCTTTCGGTAAAATTACCAAAAATATCAGATAACAAATATTCATTGATATGGTGTCTTTTTGTTTCTTTCTTTTCGGTAAAATTACCAAAAATATCATATAACAAATATTCATTGATAGTAAGAATTTGACAATGGAGGTGGTTATATATATATATATATATATATATATATATATATATATATATATATATATAATATATATATATATATATATATATATATATATATATATATATATATATATATATATATATATATATATATATATATATATATATATATATATATATATTTATATATATATATATATATATATATATATATATATATATATATATATATATATATATATATATATATATATATATATAAAATAAATTTTTTATTGATTTAATTTCATAAAAAATCATGCAATTTTAAATGCAATTAAACATCGAGTACATACATTTAGTTTAAATTGTATAGACAACTTACAACTTATGTTTGTAAGGATCAAGGTCATTAGATATTAAGAGGCTAGGTACGTGCATATTTGGATTTTTTTTAATTGAATTATGTATAGTTTAGTCTTATCATTTATTTTAAAATAATAATTTAGTTTTAATTACAAAATATTTTGTTTATCTTTAACAATTAATCATTCTTCTTGGCTTCTTAAATATTTAATGATGTTGATCCAAACATAAGTTGTGTGTACAATTTAAATCAAATTTGTGTACTCGATGTTCAATTATATTTAAAATTGTATAATTTTTTATGATATTAATTAATAAAAATTAATTATATATATATATATATATATATATATATATATATATAAATATATATATATATATATATATATATATATATATATATATATATATATATATATATATTATATATATATATATATATATATATATATATATATATATATATATATATATATATATATTATATATATATATATATATATATATATATATATATATATATAATATATATATATATATATATATATATATATAATATATATATATATATATATATATATATATATATATATATATATATATATATATATATATATATATATATATATATATATATATATATATATATATATATATATATATATATATATATATATATAATATATATATATATATATATATATATATATATATATATATATATATAT